TTGTCCAATTATCTATAGATGGGCTTTGGGTCTCCATTCCAAACCCCCTCGTTCGCATCAAAATGGTTGTTTGTTTTGGGTCTTCTGATGCCTAATAATTGATCCCATTGACACCTCATGTTCACGTGGGTTGGTGTGCTTCTTCCACATGGACTTTGTTGCTTCCCTGCTAGATGGCCGCTTGTTTAACTTCAAGCCTTTATGTTAGGGGAGCCAGCCCCTAACAAATCATCACAGGCCTGACAGGCTCAATTGTATGGCAATAATAAGTAAAGATGATAGTAAAGTCATAGAGAATAAGAGAGATTGAAATAATGGAGTCAGACACATTTCATGATAGCATGCTCCCCTCAGCCACGCTTGGCGGTCCACATGGAGATAGAAGATGAGAGGGCAGGAACAGGGGAACGAGGACCTGGAGAGAGAGCCAGGGGAAGAGAGTTCTTTATTTCTAACCAAGGCTTATATATCTTTGGGGGGGAGTGTAAGCCCCCTAATTACAGATAAGGACTTATGTCACAGGAAGGGGTTGTGCTATAGGCAATACAGTGATGAGAGGGGGACAATCTCGGGGTATACACACAATAGGAAGGGGAGGGATTGGGAGTATACATGTGACAAGATGGGCAGATCCTACATACAGGGAAGCAGCCTAATTTTGGATGTCACTGAGCCAGTTTGACCTGTTCTCTGGCTCCCCCTTGAAACCATTATCAGTAGGTTGTGAATCCCACCTACAGTGGACCAGACTGATGGCTGAAAGCCTTCAGGGAGAAGTAATCCATTGTCCTTAACAGCAGGGAGTGGGCTCCATTTGTGGTGGGACCAGACAGTAGTCTGAAGGCTGAATGCATCTGACCTCCCATCATGTGCTGGCAAATAGCCTTTAATGCTTGGCCTATCTTTGGGGGAGACAAGGCTGGGGAAGTCTTTTTATATCCCACACCTCTATGAACTTAGACACTATATCTTGTAATAGCCAGGCACCATCAGCTTTCTTCACTACATTTGCTTATGCACCCATTTCATCTTCAGTGATTGTGCTGGGAAGGTGAGCATCAAGGAACGCCAGCTTATTAGAACAAATTGTTCTTGCATTGAGGGAGGACTAGAGTAGAGGCCCAATGTCCATCTGCTACTTTAATCCTTAACCTATACATATATGTACATAGACCTATATCCCCATCATTATATATTAATATATTTACATATGTACATGTCTATGTTTATACCTCTATAAATCTCTTTTGCCTCCTTGTCCTTTCCTCTATTTCCTTTTACTTTCCTCCTGTCACACTATTGTGTTTGACCTTCATTTGGCTTTCTGCAGTGCACTTGGATGACCCACCAGGCATTCTAC